AAGGCTGTGGAGATCTGGCATTTTTACTTGGACTCGTCTTGGCCATGGGCATTGGTCTTGTTAAATATGCTCTAGGTCTCTAGGTTGTCTTTTCTTTACACAGAGTTTAACAAGAAGTAATAAATTAAAAAAAAATAATAAATAGGGTGCTAAGTCATTGCTGAAATGAAGGCTTAAAAAAGACTTGATGGTTTCTGCTCTTGATCTTGACTCTGCCTCGCTATTATTTGGTCTTGATCTTGACTTGACCTCGACCCCATTAAGACTCTCGACTTGATCGTGGCTAGTCCTGGTCTTGGACGTGACAGTAGCGGTCTTGACTACAGTCTTAGTGATCGACAACAAAGGATTTCGACCCAATTAAAATAAAAGCAAACAAACAAAACCCATTGTAAACCTTCTTCATCCAAGCTTACTAATGTAGCTAGCCAATGCACTTTAATTAAAATCAACTCAATAACATTATAAAAAGGGAGTCTGGTAGTCTAAGCATATGTAAACAGAGCTAAATAAAATGTCCCATGATTGAATAATATGACGTAGGGTACTGATTTTGGTATCAGTATCAGTATTGATGAGTGCTCATACTCAAAGTTATTGATGCATTCCTAATGCTGCACACTGAGTTACACTGAGAATTACAGCATGTTCACGGGTGTCCCACAGGGTTCCATCGATGGACCATTTCATTTCACAAGTACAGCACTCTCCTGTGCTTTATATGAGAGATATGACTTCTCACTAGTCGCTTTGCCTTGCAGAGAGCTTTTCAAAATGACACGAGTGCGTCTCCGTTGCCTATCTGTGTCCCGGAAGTAAGGTCTGATGAGCTGTTTAATGATTCTCGTTCATAAAAGTTCCATCCAAACACACACACACACACACACACACACACACACACACCAGCACCACTAATTATATGCATGAGCACCTTGCCTATAAAAGCGATAAAGCCGTACAAGCCAGTCATCATAACCTGCAGATAAATTACACCGTAATGACTTTCTGTAACCGAGGATGTTCTCTTTGAATGACAAATTGCGTTTCGCTCTTGTTGTTATGTGCAATAGATTTCTTAGAAAATGAGAACAAGGACTGAAGGGATTTTTGGTCAGTGACTGGCCCGCAGCTTCTCCGTTAGACTGTATGATGGGTGGCCCATCAGCTGACAAGCTGCAGTTCTTCCTCTCACCTGATGGTGGCAGCTGACTGTGTTCACACTGTTAGCTAAATTCCAAGAGAGTTCGTTTCTCTGACTACACCCCCGAATGAATTTACTGAATGATATTTAGTCATGGCTACAGACAAAAAGCACGACAGTGAGAAGGGACGATTTCGCAAGAGCTGGAAACAAGAATACTTCCTCATCGAGAGCCAAAGCAAATGCGTATGCCAAGAGAATGTTGCGGTAATTCAGGAATTTAATATCATGAGACATTATGAAACAAAGCATGGGCAATGCAAAAAAAAATATTCTGAGGATAAGAGGGCAGAGAAACTGAAGCAGCTGGAAGCGCTCCTGGCAGAAACAACTTTTTATCAGAGCAAACAGAGCGCCGAACATTACTAGAGCTAATAAGTGGCGAATCCTACTACCACTTAGCATGGAAAGCCTTTTGTGAATTCTTGGAAGTGTCCTTAACTAAAGTCATCAGTGTCATTTGTCCTGGAAAAAAAGCACAAAATTATGAATATCATCACACAGATGATACCCTGCTGCTCCGCTAAAATGAAATTCACTATGTTGGAGCTCTAAAATAATATTGTGGTGACCGGCCCTCGGGTATTTTGGTGAGGTCTAATCTTGCCCCCTTTGGAAAAAAGTTTGGACGCCTCTGCTGTGAATACCATAAACATGTATTACGACTTTATTTGGTCATATAACGTCTGTTAATCCGGTGAGATTTTCACTTCATTAACAACATTAACAATGTTTGTATTTTTACCGATGCTGGAGTGGCGTTACTGCAGTAGAGCTACAGACTGAAGTATCTTTTTTTTTTTTTTTTTTTTTATTTAACATTTTTTTCTTAGGCTTAGATTATGTAGTGCACTCACCTCACCATACAAGTCCCTGTGAATTAGCCATTACTATAGAAACCATAACATGTTGTAGGATCCCAAGCAGGCACTCATTTGCATATCCGTGAACCTCGGTCATCTGTAAGATATGTTAGTGTTTGATGTCTTTGTTTTATTAGCATTAGTGCTGCTCTGGGTTGTGCGTGCTGACCGGTGGCACACCAGCATGCTGCTTTGCTTTGTATTTGTTTGTGTTTACCGTCCGTTGGGTTTTGTTTAATTTTACGTCAGGCACTTCAGCCGGGATCATCGGCCACAGCCTACGAATACGACCCAGTTTCTGTAGCTACCCTGCAGGTATTTTTGATGGTTGTATCCGTGCACAGATTGATAAACCAAATGTATGTCATCTCCACGACTGACGGGCCGTTTGAGCACCTAGCCTTAAAGCAAACGTCGCATAACAATGACAATATCTTCAGAATTAACAGGGAAATCAGATGCGAACGTTTACAGTAAATGTGACGAGACTAGATTTGAAAGAACCTCATTTGTATGTGGCCGATTTCGGATGAGAAATCTATTCCTACCTAAAAATAAAAATTCCCGTTCCTGTAGTTTGTACACATATGCAACCAGATGCAATCAGATCTGTGTCAGTCATCAGTGAAAAATAACTCAGCATTGGAGCCGTAGAGATGTTCTCAGACTGTTTTCTTTTCTTTCGTTTTTTTTTAGTATTTTGTTCATGGCTGCTTTCATGCTTTCTACCAAAAACACCTCTCAGGGCTTGGTTCAGTGTATTGAAAGCTATCTACTGGAATGATGTTAATCTTCGACATAGTTTAAGTGTTGTTTATTTGAACGTTGATTAGAAATGATTCGATGTGGAGCTGCGTCTTCACTGTCAACAAAAAGCTCATCATCATTTCATTGCACCCTGAAGGCCGTATTCTTCCCCCGCCAAAGTGAACACGGTGTTCCTTTCAAACTCATTTAAAGTTCATAATCGAGCCTCAAGACTGCATTTACATTCTGTACACCAGACTCTTAGTTTCTTTTATTTAAAATCCATTCGGTTATTCTACCTTGCGAAAGGAATCTACGGCCTGAACCCGATGAAGCATGGACAACTGTAAATAAGGGTTTTAAAAGGCTGCGACTCTAATACATTACTCCAGCTGGTGATTAAAATAAAGAACCAGATGCATTTGGAGGTCATTGTTCAAGTCTACTGCTCTCTCTCTCTCTCTCTCTCTCTCTCTCTCTCTCTCTTTCACATGTGGCTCCAGGAGATTTGAAGACCCTATAATTAGGTAACAATGAGCTGTGAATCTCAATTACTGTATTTCCTGCAAGGTCAGAGCTCGAGCAAAGGACAAGAGGTGAGACACAGCGAGAGACCGGAACCTGGAGCAGTTTCCAAACCTTATAAATGTTTTTTCTCTTTCTTTCTTTCTTTCTTTATTTCTTTGAACGGGCCTTGATTTTTTCTTTTCTCTTCACCGCATTTGGCATAGTGCATCGAAAAGTGTGCAGTACTTTTGTCAGTTAAATGTATGGCAGACTTCAAAAACCAGATCCGTTCTCGATGCATTTTTCATTTGACAGCTCCTCGCTGTAAGGAATGTGTCCTCAGAGTCAGCGGGTAATGAATTATGGAAGTAAAGTAAATCCTTTTCCTTTTTTTCCTTTTTTTTTTTCTTTTTGCAGTTGGGATGGAAAAACAGGTGGACGGCATGGACGAGGCACCGTCCATAAATTACATGCTATGAATGGTGATGTATTAAAAAAAAAAAGAAAGAACCTGAGGTCTTTCAGGCCACTGTGGGGATTTGAGGTGAAAAGTTCACACTCAGGAATGAACTTCAGGGGGTCAAATGACAGACCAGAAAGTCCTTGAAGTTCATTTTGCAATTCTTTATGGCTCTTAGGTGCCCTCATTTTTACACTTGTGTGAGTGTGTGTGTGTGCGCACCCCGAGCATCCCATTATATAACGCAAGGACGCATAAGCAGAACGGTACAAGATGTTACTCGTTTAAATGGGAAATGAAGGCTGTGTTTGAGAATGAAAGATGTTTTTCAGTGTGAAAGGAAGGGAAAAAAAAGCTAACAATGACAACATTTAAAAAAAAATCTCCTTAGTACTGGTTATAATGCCTGCTTTATTATTATTATTATTATTATTATTAGGTAACAATTTTGCCATCATCTCACTCATATATCATTGTATTTTTATTTTTATTTAAAATATCTTGCTTTTATGTTACACGATTACAGTATTGCATTTGACAACAAAAACGCTATTTCCTTCTTTAGTCCGCGTTTTCTACTTCTGATTTTATTTGGGTTTAAAGGCAAGTGCTTTGTTTAAAGAGGGTGGTCTAGATACTATAAAAAAATGTCTCGGACGCATCTACTTAAGACCTATCTGGCATTCTCAGAGACATGAACTATACGCATGTACAGTCGACTTAAGCAGGTGTGTAACCTGACTCTGAATACGAGAAGTAAATGTGTAAATAATGACATACAGTAACTTTTTCACTTAAGTCAGATACTCTGAATATGTGAATATGTACACGTGTGAATATCAAATATGAAAGGAATTTAGAAAAAATATTGCTAAGAGTGACAATTGCACATTGATGTTGTTTTATATTATGGGTTTTTTTAAAATCATTTCTTTAGCTGATTGGACAGTATCTCCTCAAATCCTTGTACTTGGTGTAGTTCTAGTTTTTAGCTTTATTTGTCACATATACATTACGGTTCATTTACAGAATTTGTAATATCCCAGCTTGTTAGGAAGCTGGGGTCAGAGCACAGGGTCAGTCGTGATACAGTGCCCCTGGAGCAGAGAGGGTTAAGGGCCTAAACAGTGGCAGCTGGGGCTTGAACCCCTGACCTTCTGATCAGTCTTAACCATTGAGTCATTGCCTGTAAATGGGAACATTCCAGCAGGCAGCTTCTGCAAGGCACGAACGGGGCGTGAAGCCATGATCTTCAGTTTACAAGACCGACACCTTCCCACTTGGCCATCATGCCTTGTTCTAGTCAGTTGTTCATTTTGTCACTGGTCGTGACCCGTCATCTATTCAGGCTCAGTACTGTTGATATAAATCACACACTGAGATTTCACCGAAGGCATGAAAGCTCAAAAGATCTCCCCGGCATGAACACGTGACCTTCGGTTTAAAAGGCTGATGCCTTCCCACATAGCCACCATGCCTAGTTCTAGTTAGGTGTTCATTCTGTCACCAGTAGTGACCCGTCAACTTTTCCCAGCTCAGTACTGGCATGAAGGGGGATTGAACCCATGAGCTTCGATTTACGAGACCAACGCCGTCCCATTTGGCCTGAGATTTCACTGAAGTCGTGAATGCTCAAACGATCTCAAGCAGGATCAGGAGCGAAAGCCTCATCCACATGATTTCTTCCTGAATTATTTATGCTTGAAATGAGGAGCAAGTGAGCGAGTGTGTGAGTGTGTGGTCCTGGGGTTTTAGGTTGAGTGTGTGATCTGTAGAGTTCGCTAAATTACACAGCTATGCATTAGCAAAGGAAAATATGACCATCAATGACCACAAGTATGATTGTATCTATGTCAGGATGTAATAAGAATACATTATTCAATATGAAGAGATAATGTGCTCTAAACCGATACAAATACAGATATAAATAGGACATTACTTTTATTTATTTATCTTTATCTTACAGTTTAGGCCACGCCCACTGTAAATCCACGCCCACTGTCTTAAATCCAGATAGTGATATGGGTGCTAGAAGCTGTTTTGTGACAGTGAGTAATATAATAAATATATACAGTATGTGATATATGAACACATTACAGATTACAGTAAATATACCCGATGTAATATTCAGTGTAACTTTAATATGCATTTACATTTTTGTGAAAATGTGTGAAAGCTCAGGAGATGTGTGTATTATCATTGTTCACATCTCATGTCTTTGGGCCTATTTGGGAAACGGTTGCTGTGCATCTGCGAGGCTAATCAGAGGAAATGAAGACTGACACTTCAAGGCCACACTCGAGCACAAATGGGATTGATTTTAATAAATCCACTAATTAGAAATCTGAGGACAGTCATTGGGAAGCATGTGCGGTTGTGATTTTTTTTAATGGCTTGCTTTTCTGAAATGAGGCTTTTGTTTGCACCGATCACACTCGGAATGGTAATTAAAGTAACACATATAGGAGTATGACACATTTAAATATTCAGAATTGTTGAATAATTGAAGGGTCGTACAGTCAGACATTAGCGTAAACAAGGAGCATCCAGTTTCCTGGTTCTCATAGTTTTCCTTTCAGCAAAGAAAATCTACATTTATACAAAAGTGAAAATCAGTCTGTCTACTAAATTAAAAAGTCCTACTACAACTATTTCACTCTGCGGCCAGCTTGGAGACGCTCCCCAGCCGATATTTCCGGGCTCCTGTCTACTTGGATAAAAAGAACCCTACTCTCATGTAATGGAGGCGAAGGCGGATGCAAGAGCCGATCAGAGTTTTAATGAAAAAAAAAACGAACAACACAGACAACATGAACTTAGACACAGAAAAACATGAACTATACGTGGACTAAAGAGCATCACAGACCACTTAACAGCAAGGGAAGACAAAAGCTAGACAATAAGTGAGGTGCAAGACGTGACTTAAATACTAGCGCTCATTAACAAAAAAACGTGACACGGGTGCAGGCGGTCATGTGACGTGATCCAGTGGGGCTGCTGTGGCTGATGGGAAACGTATTCGGCTTAACAATGACACCTGACGAGGATAAACCAGACGAAGATTCACAAGAAGAGGATGTTACATGTTTTTGAACCCCACGTATTAACATTTCTAGTTCAATTTTAAGAAATGGGTTCAAGGTGAGCACTCTTAGATCCCAGGTTCCCAAGCCGGGTCCTCAAGTATATGGGTTTAAGTGAACTGTGGAATGTTTGCAACATTATTTTATTGGGGAAAAAAAAAAAACGTAAGCTGATTTGGACTGAATTAAATACGTCATATTGTATATTTATGGTATAGTTACTGTGGAAACGATTATGTATCAGAACGAGTGCATTAATATAATCCTGTGATTTGCAGCTGCACTACTGGCAGAGCTGCTGTTATAGAAAATTAATCAACACCTTCTGACCAATCAGAATCCAGAATTCAGCAGTGCAGTGGTGTAAACGTTATTAGGGGGCCAGCACTGAAGGTGCATAGGCACCCTGTTAGAACTGTATATTTTCTTCTTCTTCTTCTTCTTCTTCAGTGAGAGTCTATGGCAGCCCATATAATGCTTTGTACATTTAAAAAAAATTTAAATTTAGCACAGGGATAGAGGAAAGTCTCAGATATTAGCGTTTGTCACTCAAGCACTGTTGCACCACCAGCAGGGTGAAGGTGGGCTTACTTTTACAGTAATAACCCCACAATGCAATTTTGTAGAAACTGGATTTCACTTTCCTCTGATTCTTTGGGTCATGCCCGAGTTCAGCTGATACCAGGATGTTACTTTTAGCCATATTGGATTGAACAGCATTTAGAATATTTTTCAAAATCAGTAACAAATTTGGATCACGGCATTGTGAGACCGACCTGAACAAACCCTGTTTAGCAGATTTTTGATATGTGGAATTATTCGTCCATAACAGGAAAATAAGTTGGAAGTTGAAGTCAAAGAACAGGAAGCGAGTGTGCATCAAAGCAGTGCGTTTATTAATTTATTTACACCAAACTTGTCACACGTTCATTTGCAGCTTGGGAAGGCTACTGAAAACAGGAAGTGAGGCGATATCTGAGCAACAGCTTGATGTTTCGATTTCGTCAAATTGAGTATATCTTCTTTGGGAACAAGCGCTGATGATCCCTATGGCTTCTGGTCTTCTTCTGCTGCTAAGTGGTGGGGCCAGAAAGTGCTTGGCCCCCTTAATTGCTGCTTTCTATTTTACTGTTTTGCTGCCTAAACAGCAAATGAAAACATGGTTTCATTTTGATAAATGGCTGCGTGTTTGCACTGTTCTGCTGCTGTAAAGCGTATATTACAAGAGTACATAAAGTAAGTAATTATTATAAAGTAATAATTAATAATAAAAATCGTCTTTAGTGGTAATTGTATGACAATCATCAGCCACATATCTATAATAGTAAAACGTAATAAACAGTTTTGTGAGCAGTTTTATTATATTAGGAGGCTGAAGGATACTGTGGCAGAAGGTCAAGAGGTGAAAAACATCCAGAATTATTCCAGAGGTCCAGGGTTAGACGGGACACGGCAGTGCCAGATGTTTGATGCTTTTATGTGGGTTTTTTTTTTTTCTTTTTTCGCTTAACATGTGAATGTAGCAAAAAAGTGCCACTGACTATTTTAATTTACAGCTGAGCAGATTTAGCGTGTCAAACGCCCGAATGAATTATGCTCGGAGTCTTGGTAAGCATGACCATGCTCCAGCTTTCCTTCTTTTCTCTTCAGCATGGCCGGTTCTAGCAGATGGTGCTGTTTTAAAAATGCTATACACTCACTATACTATTTATTTATATTCTTTTATTTAGTCTCCATATTTTATTTATTTATTTATTTATCTTATGAAAACCCGTTTCATATCCTGGTGGATTCAAATTGATGTCTTAAATGTATTTTTAACAAACAAACAAATGAGTAAAAAAAAAAATAGTAAATATGTAAAAAAAAAAAAAATAAAAAATAAAATAAAATCCCCACTTCTCCATTCATTCCTTCATTTATTTATTTATTTATTTATTTACTTATTGTTTGTTTGTTTGTTCGTTCATTCCTTCATTTATTTATTCATTTATTCAAACAGATAAACAAACAAATAGTATACAAACAGTAAACAAATAGTATTTATTTATTTATTTATTTAATTTTTTTTCAGGTTCTTTCAGTTTTTTTTCCCGTTTTAACATGTGATTGTAGTAAAAATGTTGCCACTGACGGCTGTAATTTAAGGCCGAGCAGATTTAGCGTGTCAGATGCCCACATGCCATGCTAAGCATGACCGTTCTCTAGCTCTAGCTTTTTTTTTTTTTTTCCTTTTTCAGTTTGTTTTTTATTTTCCTCTCTTCCACACGGAAGGTTCTGGCAGATGGCAGTGCTGTCGTCTGGGCTTCAGTGATCTGATGTCCTTCAGCTCCTCATTGTCAGCGATAAATAAAAGTTATGCGGCGTGTGAGGGGGAGTGGGAGGGCGGAAAGAGCGAGGTGGAGAAACTCATTCAGGCTTTTGTTTTCTTTCATGTGCTCAGTGAGGAGGAATTATTTTCACAGCGCAGCGTGGGGATGGAGAACACTTCACTGCTGGATGGAGCGAATAGTCCCGTTTTTATCTGTTTAATGCTGAACGATTTCTAAATGAGGGATCATATTCATCCAGGAGAGGTGAGGTTTTCTGCAGGCTGGTTTTCTTTCAGTAGCGCTGACAAGGCTGACATTGCTCAAGTCAGATCAGTAAAGATGAGTGCAAAAGTTTGCATCCCCATAGATTTTGAATGGAGGAGAAAAACCCCCCACAAAATGTCCATCTTTTGTACACATCATCACCGCAATCAATCAATCAATCAATCAATATATATATATGTGTGTGTGTGTGTGTGTGTGTGTGCTTGTGTGTTTGTGTGTGTATATACAGTCAGATCCGGAAGTATTTGGACAATGACTGAGTTTCTGTGATTTTGCCTTTATACACCACCACAATGGATTTGAAATAAAACAATCAAGATGTGATGGAAGTGTAGACTTTCAGCTTTATTTTAAGAGGCTCCACAAAAATATGGCATTTAGGAATTACAGCCATTTTAAGCAAAGTGCCTCCATTTTCAGGGGCTCAAAGGTATTTGAACAATTGACTGACAAGAAGTTAATTGACCAGGTGCGGTCCATTCCCTCGTTACTTCAAGACAAATGAAGCAGATAAAAGGCCTGGAGTTGATATCAGGCATTGAGATGGCATTCGGCAGCTGTTCGACTGGAGCTACCCATAAGAAGTCCAAGGAGATCTCAATGCAAGTGAAGGA